CTTTTACTCTTTACACTGAAGGAAGACCTATGCCCACAGAATAACCCCTACTCCAACCTGCTTTTTCCAATAATAATGTGTGCTTTTAAATTGTTTCCATTATAGGGGTTTGTAGGGAAACACAAATTCTTTGATAATTACCTTATTTTCAGTCCTGTCTCTCTATCTCTGTATCTGTCTCTTGGTCTCTCTCTGTCCTTCCCTCCATCTGGCCCTTGCTTCCCTGCATAAGGACATATATACTAGAAAAATACTAGTGGTCTCCATTCCACATGTTAAATGATTCTACTCAAACATTGAACTCCTGTCATCTTTCATTACTGTATTGGGATAAAGCATTTTAAGTCATATCTTCTTATCCAATTGTCAGAACACATAGGTCATTCTGATTCACAAATAATATAGCTGTATAAAGCTATGATTTATTGTATACTAACCACTAGTCACAAGTGACTGCAGAACTCATAAACTATGGTTAGTCTGAATTGTGATATATTTTAAGTATAAAATAATATTTTATATTTAAGACTTAGATGTGAAAAAGTAAATGATGTTTTATATTGAGCACATTTGATAATATTTTGATATTGTAGGCTATAAAGGTATATTACTAAAGCAACTTGACCTATTTCATGATTACTTCTTAATGTAGTCATTATGAACTTAAAATTAGACATGTGGTTTACATATTAATATAAGGTAATTTGCTCTAAACATTTCAGTCTCTGATACTGATGAGAATCTCAGGCTTTTTGCTTAGAAAGACATACGATAATTAAGAATTTGCTGTTCTGGGGCTGGAGAGATGGCTCAGTGGTTAAGAGCACTGACTGCTCTTGCAGAGGACCCGGGTTCAATTCCCAGCATCCACATGGAGGCTATGAATCATCCTTAACTCCATTTCCAAGGGAATCCAACACTGTCTTCTGACCTCCGTGGTATTGCACAACACAGGTGCACTCACATACATGCAGGCAATACACTCATACACATGAAATAAAAAAAAATAGTAAAAATAATAATAATAAAAGAATTTGCTATTTTCTTTTACTTTGGTAAAACTTTTAAATGCTTAAATAAGATAAACAGATACTAGATAGTGTCCTGAAAATTAGAAGCAGTGTTGGCCTTGGACAGTGTGGTGGCCTGAGTGAAAACTGCTCCCTGTCAGTTCATGAATTTGAATACCTGGTCTCCATTTTTTGTGCTGTTTGTGGAGGTGTGGCCTAGCTGGAGGAAGTCACTTGGGGCAGGATTTGAGAGTTCATAGCCTTGTCTCACTTTAGGTTTTCTTTCTCTACTTCCTGTTTGCTGCTGAAGAAGTGAGCTCTCAGCTCCTAGCGTTAGCCACCATGCATGCCTGCTTGCTGCCATGTTTCCCCACCATGATAGACTCATTCCTCCAAAACTGTAATCCCAAATAAATTCTTCTATATGCTGACTTTATTCATGATATTTTATTACAGCAACAGAAAAGTAACTAATATAGGCACAAACAACCTAAAGTAATTATACTCAGTCTAAAGGCTGGGCCAACTTAAAAAATAAAAGATGAGAGACAAAGTAAATACAATAAGGGAAATCACATCTATATTGGATATAGATTGGGGAGGACATGGTGGTGTAGGGATCTTTATCATGGTAGGATGAAACTGTTATAGATAATCAGTTTCCTGAACCAGATATTTAAAATATTTTTATCTGGTTCTGGGATGGATCCTAGACCCTGGCCCATGGTAGGCAAGCAGTCTGTCTCTGAGCTCCATCCATATGCAGTTTTCCAATTCTGGAACTTGAATACATCTAAGTAAGGATGTAGCTTTGCTACCAACCCTAGAAATAGGTGTAATAAATACCATGAATTCTATCAAACTCGGATTGCTCTGTTCCTGGAGACAAGCCCACAGTCTTTATTATATCCAGTGTCTGATAGGAAACGTTCAGAAATCAAGTAACTTGCTAAAATAACCAAATCAGTTAGAATTTAAACCAGTTTTACTTGTTATATTCTTTCGTCCCTATAAAGGAAGCCACAACTTCTGCCTTTAAGTTAGTTTTTACCTAGTGGAGAAATAGTCACTTCATTATTTTAAGTTACAAATCATTTAGGTGCTATACTGTGGGCCTGATATATTCTGTACGGCTTGTTTGCTGTGCTTTTGGAGACATACTGGTTTGATTGTGTCATTTTAAAGGTGCTGGAAGTGGGCTCTAGCATCACTTCCCTGCCAGAGAAATTTGCTGGCTTGCCTTTGCACAGCAGTGTAGATCTTGAATGACCCATATTTTTGATCAAATAGGTCTGGGGAACATTAATGATGTCTGTGGTTTAGAGCAAAATGGTTATGATTATGGTCTTTGTTCACTGCTTGGTGTACCAGATGGATTGCTACAATCTTGACTCTGCTTTCTCTTCTTTGTTGGGCTGGAGTTTATTTTGACAAGAATGTTCTTTCTTGTCTTGACTTCATTTGTGAAGTACCAAATCTTACTTATTTCTATAGTGTCTGTGCCCATTCTGGTGGCCAGCACTCAGGTGGTACATTACCTTCCATTCAAGAGAAGAACAAATTTCTCTGCAGTGAGCATTCTGAAAATAGAAAGCAGCTACTTCTCAAGTGTTAGGCACCACATGGAATAGTGTACATGGCTGCATGCCACACTTACAATCTGGTAGAAAGCAATTCAGTGTGATAAGCTTTGCCCATACATAAGCATTCTAGTCAGGACATCTTAATAATGAACACATGGTTGTTAAAAAAAATGGAAGAATTTCCAGAGCAAGAAATACTTATACTGAGATCTGGGAAGAAGAAATAAGCAGGGGAAGGGAAGTATGTGGAAGAAGGAAGGGATTTTTAGCAGAAAGAATGTCAAGTAGTGACATTCTGACCTGCTATTAGTTCAAGTAGGAATTTGGCTAGAGGATACAGATAGGTATGGGAGTGAGAGTAATAGGACTATGGAGAGAAAAGAGATTAAGGAGAAATGTTCAATCAGTATTGAAGAGATAATTTTCAGATGCAATGTATCATACCATACTGTTCACAGTGCAATTCATTATGGATTCCTAAGGTGATTTTATTTAGAGTTTAAAATTAAGATCATCTTATATTTATATTTCATGTGATGAAAATAAAGGTAAACTTCAACTGGATAACATTGAACACCCTCATATTTCTATGTCCACATCATTTTTATTGTATATCTACTTCATTAGAATGCCATGGTCTGCCCCATTCTCATTGTTAGAGACATTTATCTCATGATAAATGGGCTTCATTAGTAGCAGTTTGGGACATTATTACATTCATCTATGAAAGTTATAAAGCTTTCATTAATTCATTTTTCCAGAAACTATTACTTTAAATCCCAAATGTTTTCTTATTCTTCAAATGAGGTAGAAAATATACTTTCCCAGTTCAGTTCAATGCTCAATTTAAGCTTTTAAATGAAAAAAAGGATGATTTCAATTTTGCTTCTGAACTTGATTCATCAGTCTATAAACTGAGGATGAGATAATAGGCTTGAGCAAGGAGATCCAGGGAACATGGGCGCTGCAAGGCCTGCTTTAAGTCTTGGTTCTTTGGCAAATGTATTGTGTCCTTTCATTGGTCCATTAGGCTCTCTCTGCCTCAGGTAATCAAGCTCCAAAACTGATGTAGCATTTTCTGTGGATGTGGCTTGTAAGGATCAATGAATTAAATATAGTTTGTAATGCTCAAATAATAGCATATTAATCATTTATGAAAATTTAAAGTTACAACTGAATCTCAAATTCAATATTATTTGGGTGAATTTGAGTGGAAGGACTCATATGTAGGCATTTGGGTCTTTTAAATATTAAGGTCTGTATATAATTTTAACTGTTATGCACACATTTCGTATATAGTATTATAACATTTGTGAACCAAACTACTAGGTGTCACAATACTGTGTACTCACTTTCCTACTTTGTAGGTCATGACTCATGTTTCTGATCACCAAGTTGTGCCCCAGTCTGCACAGCAGGGTAGATTTTCCACCAGCAGAAGTCTTATGACCTCACTTTTCATCACAAACAATGCTGATTATGCAGCCTGTACCTTTGCTATGTACAAATAGGAAATCCAGGTGGGCTTGCATTCCTATAGATTTCATTTATGATCCACTACTGGGGTTAGGAAGCTAATAAAGTGTAAGCCATTCTCACGTCCTGAGAACCTGAAAGGGTAACGGAGATGTTAACAAAAGGATGGATCAGGAGATCATAGATCGGTATTAAAAAGAACAATGTCCCTTTCGCAGTCCCCTGCACATTAAGCATGCACTATGGGCAAAATGTAAATGTGGTAAAAGGAAACTTGGTTGCTACATAAAGTCCTTTATTGCATTTGTAAAATGGAATCAAATTTAGCGTTTTAAATCCTAACTAGATGTAGAGCATCAGCTAAATATGCAATCATGTCATTTGATTGCAGGAGAGGTAGAGGAGAGTTCGCCCTTCATTTTAAAGAGTATCATAAAACCATTAGCAGGGATTCAAAAGCTTCCTAGCTCCCAGCCTTTTAGCAATCACTGCTTGAGAGCCAACATCTATAGCAATCTCAGACGGAGAACTTAAGGTCCCTGTTGTATATTCTCCCTGCTCCTTAAAGAGGGTGTAAAGAACTAGTTTTCCTGTAAACATCCAGGAAGAAGGCAAGAAAGGATGAATAGAAGAGAGGAAGGGGAAGAACGGGGAAAAATTAAGAGAGGGAGGGAAAGGCAGGCAGAGGGAATGAACCGAGGAGAGGAGATGCCATCCCTCTTAGCCTGTCTGTGTTTAGTGTCCCTGCCTGCCTTGCCACAGGCTGCCTGCCTGCTGGCATCTACCTTTGGCTCTGCCCTCCGCCCCGCCCCCTAGCGTCGTAGCTGCGCTCCAGCGGCCCGAGGCTATCTCTTTAAATGACAGCTGTGGTTTGGGTCGCAGTCCAGGGCTTGACGTCAGTGCCACCTCCTGGGTTTATAGTAGTTAGCACCACCGTCCGAGCTTCAGGCTGGGGCGCGCAGGCTTGTGCAGCCAGGGCGGTGAGTTTTCTTTGCTAGAGCCCCGCCTCCCGCCCTCCCCTCGGAGAGCCGAGTCTCAGTCGCGGAGCCTCACGCAAGTCTCTCGCACACTTCCCAGCCCTCGCCCCAAAGGAGCAGCGGCACCGGGCGAGCTGCACTCTTGCGAGCCGCTCCTGGATGGAGCTTGGGCCCCGCAGACACCATTGCTGCCTGGAACCCTGAGCCACACTTGCCGCCTGCAGGACCGAGCCGGCCGCCCGAGGGTGCCAGGCGCCCGGGCGCACGCGGAGGGCAGGGGTTGTTTGGGGCGCGGGGCTAGGCTCTGGTAACCTCGGTGTGCTGTTCGCTCGGGTCGGTCACCTGGCCCGCGGCGGGGACCATGGCTCTGAAAGACACCGGCAGCGGCGGCAGCACCATCCTCCCCATCAGCGAGATGGTGTCCGTGTCCAGCTCTCCCGGCCCCACCCCGGGGCCCTGCGCCCCGTCGCCCTTCCCCGAGGTGGTGGAGCTGAACGTGGGCGGCCAGGTCTATGTGACCAAGCACTCGACGTTGCTCAGTGTCCCGGATAGCACTCTGGCCAGCATGTTCTCGCCCTCTAGTCCCCGGGGTGGCGCGCGACGCCGAGGAGAGTTGCCAAGGGACAGCCGGGCGCGCTTCTTCATCGACCGCGACGGCTTCCTCTTCAGGTACGTGCTGGATTACCTGCGGGACAAGCAGCTGGCGCTGCCCGAGCACTTCCCGGAGAAGGAGCGACTCCTGCGCGAAGCTGAGTACTTCCAGCTCACCGACCTGGTCAAGCTGCTATCGCCCAAGGTCACCAAGCAGAACTCGCTCAACGACGAGGGCTGCCAGAGCGATCTGGAGGACAATGTTTCTCAGGGCAGCAGTGATGCGCTGCTGCTGCGCGGGGCGGCGGCCGGCGCGCCCTCCGGCCCTGGAGCGCACGGCGGCGCGGGTGCAGGCAGCGCGCAGGACAAGCGCTCTGGCTTCCTCACCCTTGGCTACCGTGGCTCTTACACCACCGTGCGCGACAACCAGGCAGACGCTAAGTTCCGGCGAGTGGCGCGCATCATGGTGTGCGGGCGCATCGCTTTGGCCAAGGAGGTCTTTGGAGACACCCTCAACGAGAGCCGCGACCCGGACCGGCAGCCAGAGAAGTACACGTCCCGCTTCTACCTCAAGTTCACCTACTTAGAGCAGGCGTTCGATCGCCTGTCTGAGGCCGGCTTCCACATGGTGGCGTGTAACTCCTCCGGCACCGCCGCCTTTGTCAACCAGTACCGAGACGACAAGATCTGGAGCAGCTACACGGAGTACATCTTCTTCAGTAAGTTAGCGACCTGCGCGTCTTCTACCTCGCCTCCGCGGCTTACAGACCTGAGGCGGGTGGGGCCCCGCTGCAGCCGGGAAGGGGTGTCCGACAGCGGGTGTCCCTGGCGGGTGCTGGCTAACCATGTCAGCAAGTCTTCCCGCCAGCATCCCTTGAGAGGCACAACTTAAGCTTTCTCCTCCTCCAATCTCCCTCTCCTGGTTTCAGTTTCTCTTCCTTAACCTACTGATGTTACCCTCTTGCCCTAAGGAGTCAAGATTCCCCGGCCATTCCCAATTGTCAAGGCTGGAGAGACAAGCTCTAGGTAGTACATGTAGGCCTCCTCCCCGGTCCGCTTTGTGGGAGTCAGGAGCCCATTTATGGACTCTCAGTCGTGCTCTGAAGGACAGGCTGGTACGGAGGCGCGCTGCTGCGCACTGCCAGGAGTACCTTCTGTGTGTGTTCCCAGGTTGGAGCGTCAGCTGTGTGGTTTTGGAGGGGGACAACTTACATGACTGGAACTTCTGGGGAACCGAGGCACAAGGGCTGCTAGTGCAAAAGAGCCCTTCACTGAGCACTAACAAGCCAGATATTTCTGTGGCAGTCACCCCCCAGTGCAACTGCCTAGTGTTTGGGGGAGAGCCGGATCTAGAATCTGGGTATCAGACTGCAGCTCTTAGAGAATAAAAAAGGCACGTGTGTGTGTGTGTGTGTGTATGCGCGCGCATTTTTCTTTCTTGTACAACCTTTCTTGAAAGGAGTAGGGGTTTGAATCAACTTTCCTAAGATGAATAAAAACAGCAGTGCTCTAAAATGAAAGAGGGGGAGGCTAAAAAAACCTTTCGCAAGGTGCTTTTTATCCTCTGCTTCCAGAGGGGGCTCAGTTGAGTTTAAAAAAAAAAAACTCACTAAATCCCATAGTCTTACTCTGCAGGGGTTTAACGTGGGCAGAGCAGAAGTGTGGCAGGTAGGATTCTGTGAGAAGTGTAATATGAAGGGCGCTAAGATTTCAAGGTGATTCGGACAAAGGAAAACTCAGTTGGAATGGGAGCAGGGACATTTTTTGACTAGCATTTTCATTTGGCAAGATTCAAGAAGTTTTAACACCAAACCAGTGTGTGTGTTGCGGGGGTGGGGGGTGGGGGGGCATCGAAAGCCTATAACGGAGTAGACCAGCGTTCATTGTGTTTGTTTTGCTAAGTCGTTCTCAATTGCAAAACTGAATAATTTCTTACACCGGTGCAAGGTTGATAAGAAAGTGGCTCAGTGTGTGTACATTTGGGTCCTTGGAGGTGGAGTGACAGATATTGCCTCTGAGAGGGTGATTGCCTTTTTGGACAAGTGCTGATTTCCTGAGGAAGCCATTTCAATAGAGAAGCAAATTAAATGTCCAGTGAAGGGATAAATAACAATCTAAGTGCATTTATTTATTTATTTATTTATTATTTATTTGGTCTTCCTGCGCAGTTGAAGCAGGCCTTCATTCTACATCCCCCTGCCTCATCCATCTGAGTGCTGGAGTTACAGGAGTGCTGGGGTTACAGAAGTGCTGTCACATGCCTACCATCCTAACTGTAATTATATCATAGTATTTGTTACACACTGGAAAAGCACATAAGAGAAAGCAAATTTTATTTTATTTTTCATGTAAAACTGGCATGTCTTTGATTTATATTAAGTAATTATGATACTGAAACTTTAAAAATTGACTCATCATCGAAACCTTGTTTCAAAAATCTTTTATATATTAAACATTTAAGTATTTCTTCAAAGACGTATTTCTAATCATTTCAGAATATGATGTGCAATGAGCTTTGATCTTTCATTTGGTTAGTGGTTTTTCTTACAGAAGATATGTTTTTTCATGATTTTTTTTTTAATTTCAGTGCTGAGGATCAAACCAACAAGCATTTTACTACTTAGTAGAATGATAGAGGTGGTTTTTTAGGACAGGGTGTTGCTGTGTAGCGTGAGATGATTTTCTGACTCCGGAATGCTGGGATTATAGGCATGAGCCACCATGCCTGGCTAAGTGTAACTGTCTTTTGAGAGTTAAAAATTTTAAAGTTTGAAAATATTTCATAACATTAGATTTTCATTTTTTCCCAAGAAAGTAATAAACTTGAGAGTGTTCATTACTTTAATTACAAAAAGCAGATACAGTCTGCAAAGAAGAACAAAATAACACTGTACAATAGCAAATTGAAATTGGAAACTGCGAATTTAACTATGAAGATAATATGAGAAATAACTGAAATTCAGAATGTGTTACACTTATGGAACTGAGGTAGTATTACATAAAATCAAATTTTCTTGTTATTAAAAAACACTTCTTGAGTATTCAGTTTCTTAATGAACGCTGAGATTTATTCATAACAGTTTTAGAAATTAACCTTTTTACCTGGTTATCCTAATTTAGGGAAATAGACATAATTTGAGATTAGCATTGTTCCCTTGGATTTGTGATCTGGTCACTGATCCACCAAATATAGCTACCATTTTAAATTCCAAGTGCAAAATTTATCTTAAATACTAATATGTGCATATTTATTTTATATACCTTGTGATATATATTCACTAATTTTGAGTGGGATTCCGTTCAGTAGTTGATAAGTGAAAATACATTCTCTCTATATGTTTTTTTTTTACATTCCCATCTTGTTCAGTTTGCGTAATGCTAAAATGCTATTATTTTGTTTGTCAAGTCCCTATTTTAAATGTTCATCAATGATAATTATATAAGCAAAGTTACTGAATGAATTTGCTTGTCAATTTATACTTAAACACACACAGAACAAATAAATACATTCTCACTTCCTTTTTGACACAATTCTTTCAACAGATACTTGTGTTAATCATACTTATTCAGAGTATAATTCATCTATCAGTCATTTTAATGTATTTTTGAGTTTAAATGTGAACTTCCTGGTTTGATGCTGTTTTAAAAGTGACAAAGTTGTAATTCTAATGGGACATAAAGTTTATTGCTCATACTGCTCCTTAATTTCTGAAGAAGGAATGACAATGACAAATGATTCAGAAATCCCAGACACTGCCCTGCAGCCAGGGTGGGTGCATGATCCAATTATTTATGTCTGTGTTTTTGCTTCTTTATCTGTATAATGGAAGTTGTCTTCCAAATTTACAGAATCTGAGAGCACATGTGAAGTGCTTCTTAGAATGGAACCTGTCCCATAACAGAAGCGTAATGAAGGTGAGCTGATACTATTATATGGTTCATTATTTTCTCAACATTAAACTTTTATGTTTGTTTTATAGGCAACATAAAACATTTCAATGTAAAAGGAAGTATAAAACAACATTTCAATTATACAGTGGAGCCCACCTTAATCCCTACACTTGGAGGCAGAGGCAGGCAGATCTCTGTGAGATTGAGACCAACCTGCCCATTTTGGGCAGCTGGGACTGTAAGTAGACATCATCTCAAACAACAACAATGACACCACCACCAAAAACAACAAACCCCCAAACCAGCCAAACAACCAACCAACCAAGAAACAAAAAAACCCCAAACCAGGAACAGCATACTAAATTTTCATAAGTCTATAATAAGTAATTAAATACCTAATTTCCTTTTGGAACTTGAATTTTTCAGACCAAGTCAGTTATCTAGATGTCCCAGTCATATTGTAATTGCTTTTTTTCTAGATCAACTTCAACCCAATCCACTTCTGGTTTGGGGCCAAGAAGTGTTTTCACACTTCTCAATAGAACTTGAAACTTGGGCAATATTTTCCGAGAAATACCAAGCTGGTTTCATATCTCCTTAAGTGCTTGTATCCAAGTCATTGGGTTCTTATTCTCATGATTATAGACAAGCTGTTGAACATTAAATACCAGCTTCATTGGGTTACTTGGGCATGTTTACAGATTCTCATTTTTAACTTAGTGTTTATCAGGCCGTTTAAATACATTACAGTACATATTAGTATGATTAAGTTTCATATTACTCTTCTGATAATGAAGATGGATTGGCCTTAATTTTTTGAAAAGCAATGATTTACTGTGTATTCTGTTTTGTGGAATGTCTGACATGTGTGGTTGTGGCTGTTTTTGAAAATAAGAGAGATCAAAAGGCATTCTACACTGGTATAGTATGGCAGAGATGGTAGATAGCTGTGTGCTGAAATGTGGCATATAAATCAGTCATGGTTAAAACTACCATGTTTCCTTTACTTATCACAGTAGAGCTTGCCACAGGGTGGTGCTAACATAGTCTTACCTTCTCCTTAATGGCACTTGGAGTTTTGAACTCTATGAGTTGCTTGGGCAATATGTGTTATAGTTGCCCAATTCCAGTACTAAAGATAGAAAATGGCAAAATTCTTGGAGTGCAGAAAGTATGGAGGCTGTGTGGCATGATGCCGACTTGGAAGGGTGCTGGGCTTCTAGGTGTGGCATAATTTTCTCTCTTAATTTATCTTCTTCCCAGTACTAGGGCTTTAGATTTCCTACTTTGATGTTCCAGCTCTGTGTTGGTGAAATTTTATGAGGATATAGAAGCCGAAAAACTACATGCATACGAGTGTTCTTTGACATGTTTCTTTCCCTCCCTTTTGTAGCTTAAGGTGATCTGTGATTTGTGGCTTAACTTGCATATGAGTAGGCCTCAATTAGAAGAGAAAACTTCCTCTGGAAACAAAATAGGTATAAATCAAGTGTCTAACTAGTATCTGTCCTAGAGTCATAAATTATTAGCTGACATCAGTTAAAATTTGAAAATTATTATTTACTTGTCTTTTAAGAGTAATCTTTCTGATGATATTTTCATTCATAATTAACAGTAATGTAATGTGTATTTCAGAAATGCTGATAGGGTAAACATCAAATGATCTTGCCACATATATTGACAATATGTACAAGTATCACTTTAATATATTTCATTATAAAAGTAATATGGGCAAGTTTAGAATTTGTATAGAAAAAAATTAAAATTAAAAAACATACCAGTGACTGCTTATAAGAATTTGACTCATATTTTCAAGTCTTTTTTTATG